ACTGCTCATGCTGTGAAATACTAAACATAATTGGAGAAAATTAAACACGTTCAGTGCATTACAGCAGTTAAAATATACCGTGAATGTCTCTAACAGTCTCTGGGCCCCGAGCCTCTGATTCAGTACTCTCCTGGAGATAACGTCGTTATCTCTCTGATTTCGTGGCACAGGAGATTCGGATCCGTCCCGAAAGTCCAACTGGAACTTCCGTCTGTATGATCTTCTTTCGATAAGCACCTTATCTTGTCTTGTTGTCACGATAAAAGGCTTCGCTCTTCTGTTTTTCACTCATTTTTCGACTGTTTTTGTCTTGCAATTCGGTTGTTGTTGTCTTGTCTTTTTTCCGGTCAAAATGGCCGTTTTTCGTATTTCTCAGAAACGTTTTTGTTCAAGTCGAAATTTTGAAAATTCAAAATATCAGAACATACTCCTTTTCATCACAAATTCGGTGCTAACGCCTTTAATGTTCTTTTCGTCGTGCATCGGCAGGTTTGACTGTGCCAATCCGAGGGAATGGCACACCTTGACACTTTTCCCCCATGTCTGTTGGCTATGTTTTTCCTTCCTGTAAATACTTTTCTGTAACAATCATTTTGCTGTTTTTTGTTTCAATTTGCTTTGGCTAACTAACTCTCTGTTGGTTTTCATTCATCTAATTTTTAGGAAGGATTTGTTTACTGTAATGGTCTAAGCTAGCCACGCGACAGATGAAATAATTTTTCGATGGTTTCACAGAGATTTCGATACCGTAAGTACTTTCGACAACCTGTGATTATCTCGAATCTTATTTTAAGCAAATTCTCATTGGGCTGTTGCCTACTGTTTCAAAATTTCTGTTCGCTATTTTCAACTGGGTGTGTTTCAGAAAAAGAAAAAAAGAAGCCACCACTTTTAATTCATACTGAAATATTTTCAATAGTCTTCGAATTTTTCTATGTAATTAATCACTAGGTCGAAAGTTATCGTGTTATGACTGATCTTTCATCACATAGCCCTGTGAAAAAACCCTTAGCTATTAATATATGAAAATTTGCTCAAGCGGTTTTATCAGTGCGAGTATGCAATCCAGATTCTGTTTTCTACAAGCGAAGCGTAGTGGCTTATCACGGTATATCTGGAATTTTATATCTATACCTGGTGGTCCCTAACATTTTTTTGTATCTGGTTTATTGGTGAATAGTTTCTATTTGATTTAAAAAAAACATGTTTTATAAGGATGTGGTTTCCTCTATTATTTTTATGGCGCTTATGAAAAAATTTGCTTTTTAAAAAAAATCAATTTTTCTCGAACTACTTTGCTGATTTCAAACAAGTGGGTACTACTATGATAGAGTGGTTCCTTGAAAATAACCAGGCCCCTTGTGAATAGGACACATAGGGCTCTGAAATGTCTAACAATTATGATTTCGCCATTCAGAAAGATGTCGCTGTATATTTTCAAACAAATTTTAAGTTTCTTTGTTTCGTAAAACCTCCCCCCTCAACATTTTGAGGTAGAAAATTCAAAAAATGCAAAAAAAAATCGAATTTTGATGACAAATAAGCCAATCCGATTATTGTTGTTAAATCGTAAAATAAGTTGAAGTGAGCATATTTCTTGATATAAAAATAAAAGTGATTAAAATTTTTAATCTGAACCAGGCTCTGCTTAAACAGCACCAGGCTTCACAAAAACCGTCCAGAAACTAGCAGAGAAATAAGCGAAAAACGGAACGAATCATACTCGGACACAAAAAACTTTTTAAGAACAAAAATAAGTTTTGCGCTTCTGAGGAGTGCAATCCTCCGCCTTAGGGGGTGTAAAAAAACTTAAAAATACATCCAACATAGACAATTCTATCTGTGCTATAATCGAGGAGCGTAGATTTTAATTGACAATTCACTGGATGCATTAAAATCGACTTGATTTATTCATTAATTTTTGCCGATGTATTTATGTAGCGTTGGTAGGGCCCTATCCAACCTGTGCACGTATCGTCGCATGACGGAAGGGCCTATTTTAATTGACCTTTTTTTTAAATCTGAAAGGTTTCTGATAGATTTTCGCTAGATTTTTGAAATGTATAATTTATAAGCATACTAGTTTTCAAAATTATCACATGCGAAATGCATGCGGGACCTGAAGATCATAATTGCTTTTATCATAGGACCAATCTATCATAGTAGTACCAACAAGTGGAACCAATAGAGAGAACAGCTGCTTCCCTGCGAACATGGTTTATTAGCTAGTCTCTTTTTACTTCACCGGGCGTTCTACGACCTTTGCCCTCCTAGTTCGAAACACCATGACAAATCTGAAATTAAGGGTTCAATCAAAAGCGTGTTCTGGGATTCCCCCTGAGTAAGTTGCTTTGCCCTAATTTTGTTGAAAAAAGAGGTTCGGCTTTAGAAAATGTCAATTTTTGACAGTTCTCGAAACTTTTTTCTGCTTCTCTCCAAAACTACCCTGCCAAATATGAGATTAAAGTGGTTTGATCTAAAAATCTAGGAGTAGGAATTTTATCACTGTTTCATAAGCTGCGACCTAGTTTTTTTAAAAGTGTAAAAAATGAGTGTTAGACTTCGAAATTGTCTTTTTTTTGTTTGAGAGTTAGAACGTATTTCGGACTTATCTTTTATCTAGTTATCTTTTATCGAGACATACAAAAATTTTGTTTCGCCTAGCTTAGCATTTTTCTTTCGTTTTTTTCTATCTGTGTTTTTTGTATGTGTGGTATTGCAAGTGACGTGGAGCTCCGCTTCGCCTCTGTTTTTTTCGTGTTTTTTTTTGCAAGTGGTGCAAAGCTCCGCTTCGCTTGTGTAAAAAAAAATTACATAAAAAGAGACCTGTGGACATGGCGCAGATGCTAAGACGCGCGACTTGTAATCTCAAAGTCGGGTGTTTGATCCCGGCTTAATTTTTATTAGCGTTTTCTTTACTTTTTCACTTTTTGAACCTTTTAGAGCTAGTTCTTGTCCCTTTCTCGCTTAAGTTACTAAACGCTTGCTTATAAAATTTCAGCGCTAGGGTCCTAAATTCAAATTCGAGTGACAAGAAAATCTCCCGTTGTTTTACAGACTAGATAGACTATGCCATCATCTCCAGTGACATCTTTTCCGCTTATACATCTATCTTTTGAAATTTTTGTACCCGGACGCGCCAAAAGACAGTCAGAGTTGTAACTGTAACTGATGTTTTTTGCATTGTTTGGGTTGTTCAAGTGGGTGTTTGGGTGGGGGTTGTGCCTTGTTTGGCATTTTGCCGCCCTGTCATTGTGACGTGGGTCGGCGAGAAAAAAATACATCGACCTTGTTTTCAGCGGCTTCTTAGAGAGCTCAGAACTGTTGTTCTTTTTAACCTTTTTTGATTAATCTTTGTTTCACATGATATCATGGACGACTGCCGTAGACTAAGTATGTTAATAAGAAAAGTGACGGAGCTTGCTGCTGGTTGCTAAAAAAGAAAGCATGTGTTCCGTTAGCTGCTAAGATATTGCGAATATACCTACATGGGAAAGTGTATGCGTGATTCTCGTATGTGTAAATTTAGTACAAGTTGATGAAAAAGAACGGGAAATAATAGACTTGTTAAGAAAAGGGAAGAGACATGGTATAAAACGTGTGTACTACCTAAACATGCGAATATATATTCTGACATTTTAACACATACTACTACAACTACATAAGGAGGAAATTTAAGACAGGTTTTAATTGGTATTTGCTCAAAGCAGAAAATGTTTAATTTCCGCTAAAATAGGAAGTCAGAATGGAGATATATGTATGAGTTGTTGGCATGGCATTGTTAGCGTTTTTTTGTGACTGTGTTGTTGTGCTTCGTACTTGAAGAGACACAATTGGGTTCTGGGGAGGAGAGATATTATTGGCGCACTGTTCACATAATTGGCTGACTGATTTGTGGCATGATATTTTCTTCTATGTTCAAATCTGTGCTGCTGTTGTGGGTTGGTTATTTACGTGCTAATATGTATTATGGTAAGAAATTACTATAAAGATATTAGTGAAGTGACAAGACTATTGGGGGATTAGAAGTCACTTGTGTGCGTGTGTGTGTGTTTGCTCTTCTACTGCCAATTTGGGCCAATGTGTTGTGCAGTCCATAGTCATTGAGTGCCCAATAGGTTTTATATCAGAGCAGTACATCTAATAGACAGCCTAATAAACAGACTAATGGGCAGTGAAGTAACCTTTTTCAACTTCCATTTCCATTCATGAACAAGTGTTTTATCCTTAGCAAAGACAACTACCAAAATAATCTCGGACGATTTTGAGCAATTTTTTGAAAAGTATCTAGTTATCTCTTCAAGTGAAACCTCAGTTTGAATAATTTCGATTTGTATATTTCGATAATTTTTTTTGGGCCATTTTGACTGAATATTTCTAAATGCCACTTTGTATGCTCGTTCAACTAATCGGGTTGTGGAGTTAGGATCTGCTTACTTTTGAGTATGAAACTGAAGTTGTCTGTTAGTCCATACACTATTGCTGTCCCCTGCTAGGGAGTAGAATGCTAGTACTAGTATAGAGCAGGAAAGAAAGGAAAGGAAAAGAGTAGCTAAGGTAATGCGATGTCAATGGAGTATTTTAGATAAATTATAATGAGTAGACAGTGCCAACGGGTAGTGGTGGTGGTGGCGGCCGCCGCCTAACCCACCAATCCCCCCCCCTCCCTGTCGCTCCTCATTTGGCCTTCTCACTCTAACTCGAGTGAGAGCATAGGGACTACATTGCCACTAGTGCAGTTGCATTGCCACTAGTGCAGTTCATCAGTTAGCCCTCAAGTCAACTTTCATTTTCTTCGCTATCTCTCTCTCTCTCTCACTCTCTTAAAAACTTGTTTCATATTTTAGTCGGCCATCTTTTACCCATTTCAGCCCAGGCTGCTGCATTGGCTAAGTCCAACTAGTAGCAGCCGCCCACAGCACTGCCGCCGTCGTCGTTTCTTTTCCATCCATACTACTACTACTACTAACACTGCTACTATTACTACGCGTACTACCATTTCTATCGATACACACCATACCCAAACCTTGTGCTGTGTGCCCCAACGGTGGAGTTGCTTCCCCCAATTCCCCCATAGCTTAACCATACAATACATCTCTGCTCTCTCTTCTATTCGCGCTACCCTCTGCCATGCAGTGTACAAAGCCGTACATAGTGTTCTTGTTCTCTTCTCTGGTGCTCGTTCGCTCCCTCCTTGTCTCCCCTCTCTTTCTCTCTCTCTCTCTCTCTCTCTCTCTCTCTCTTTGTAAAGGAAAGCAGAGCTTCTTTCTTCTCTTCTCTCTCTCGCTCGGTACTGTTAATTTTAAACGCATCAAAAATAGTACTTCCCTATCCATCAGTAGCACAAGAGAAGAAGCGAGCAAAGCACTAATGCACACATACACACACACACGCAGAAGAGAGAAGGATACACCAATTGCACAAAAAATAAATTGCATTTCACTGCCAATGTTTTATTAATAATGCTATGTGAAAATTCACAGTAGCAAGCATAGCATAACTGCTTGGAAAGAAGCGTAATGGAAACGAAACGTGCCATCAAAATGCAATCAATTGTCTAAATTGCTTTGCAAACATCCTATCACCATCCCCCCTCCAATGCGCTGTGCTGTGCTGTTGCGCTGCTCGCCTAACTGAAACCGATTAAAATTCGGTTGTAGAAATGAATTTGGGTAAATTAGCACGAATTGTGATAGTTGCCTCCGCTGTCTGTGATTGTGATTGTGGCTACTGAAACAGACTGTTTGCGTTTACGTCCTTTCTCGTCCTTACAATGCTACTAGCCTGCTGCTCTTCCAAAATCTTTCTCTTTTTCTCTTCCCATTTCCCCTTCTGTGCTATTAAAGTTGGTCTGAATTGAATCAATGTAATTATTGATGGGAAGCAATTACTTCGCTTTACTCAGTCTTATTATATCATCACATCAAAACTACTGTTGGTCAGTGACTTTTTTATTGTGCTCTTTTCTCTGCCCTAGAACACCTGGTCTAGTGAATTACATGTGAAAGATGTGTTCCGCGCTCCATTAGCCCTGACCCTGAATTGCATTCCTCCTCCCACCCTACTTAGGTTGCCAGGGCGGCTGGCCGTCTATTGCCCGGTTTAGAACGTGAGCCCAAGTGCGTGTGTTTATGGTCTTATTATTCCATTCCTTTTGATGTGCCGCACATGAATTCTGTTCTGGGCTCAAAGGGTAAGAGATGATTGCTTTCAATAAATTAGCGTGAACATTTAATAACTTCCGCCCCCGCAACTTATAGAGTCTCCGGTTACTATTTCACTCTGCAAGCTCGGATCTTTTGATTTGCCCGGATAGGAGCTGTACTGCTCTTCCCGTTAATTCAGGGTTGGTGCGAGAAAAAAAACTCGAAACATTTTTTATACGGTGAAAATGACTAAAAATGCATTTTATGTAGCTATTTCTTGTTATTGTTCCGACTATTTGAAAAATGGGGAGGAACTTTGTATTCGGGCCTTTTAGTATTTTTTTTGTTTTTTTTCCACGCAAAATCAGTTACCACCATAAATCATGGAGAGAGTTGAGTGATATATCACATTGAAACTGTTACAGTTGTGATTCGAACATTAAACCATTTCAAAAAATTTTTCCCAGTGTCGGGAAAAAAACTGGTTTAAAAACTGGTTTTTGTCGTCGAGCGAATCGAGTGAGCAGTCTTATTTTAATGGCTTAAAAGCTTACAATAGCTTAATTTAAAATTTAAAAACTTAGTTTCGTTTGAGTAACGATAGTTGGTTTTAGTGTTTTAGCGCCTTTTTGGAATCAAAATCTTCAAAAATTCAATAACTTTTTTTTGATTTTTTGTTTCGTTTTTCTAGTGATTTTTCTGCAAAAATTGTTTTTCAATTTGCCTGTTTTACTATGAATGTCGAATATAACTAATCCCCAGTTTTTTTGTTCAGCTCCTTTTATCACACTGCGCCAAAACAAAACGACAAAAATTTGAAAAAACTTTTTTGATGTAATTTTTTAGACAATGGTCAGAACATTCTGTGCTACTTTAACAGTAACCGGCTATCCTTGTTCTGTTTTTGTTATTTGATTATGTACAATGTGTAGTTGTTTTTGATATATTTTTTGATGTTACATGTGGAATCCAAATACGGACCAAAAGAGGTTTTATACGATACCATACTTAACTTCTATTCGAGCTTCCAATGAGGTGCCTAAAATTAGGATGAAAAAAACTATGCCGTTACTTCCTCAATAACTGGGACATTAGTTTCAATTCAGGTAAATGGGTTTTTGAAGCTCTTCAGCGCTGTTTAAGCGGTGTTATAGTTTCAATTCAGGCAAATAAGTTTTTGAAGCTTAGTTTTTTACTTTCAATACAGGCAAATAAGTTCCAATTCAGGCAAATAAGTTTTCTAAGCTCTTCAGCGCTGTTTAAGCAGTGTTTAGCTTAGTTTCAATTCAGGCAAATAAGTTTTTGAAGCTTAGTTTCTTATTTTCAATTCAGGCAAATAAGTTCCAATTCAGGCGAATAAGTTCCAATTCAGGCAAATAAGTGTTTGAAGCTTTTCAGCGCGTTTAAGCAGTGTTTAGCTTATTTTGAATTCAGGCAAATAAGTTTTTGAAGCTTAGTTTCTTAGTTTCAATTCAGGCAAATAAGTTCCAGTTCAGGCGAATAAGTTCGAATTCAGGCAAATAAATTTTTGAAGCTCTTCAGCGCGGTTTAAGCGGTGTTTAGCTTAGTTCCAATTCAGGCAATTAAGTTTTTGAAGCTTAGTTTCTTAGTTTCAGTTCAGGCAAATAAGTTCCAATTCAGGCGAATAAGTTCGAATTCAGGCAAATAAGTTTTTGAAGCTCTTCAGCGCGGCTTAAGTGGTGTTAAGCGCTTCCTTGGCTATAAAAAATTGTTTACAATTTTTTGAAAAAAAAACTGCAAAAGAGTAGAAAAAAATTTGACAGTTAGAAGTTTTTCGAAGACAATTGAAGTCGATTACTACTACTTTTATCATTACTATTTTCACTTGTTACAAGCTTTCGTCTACTTCCTCTTAGCACACCATGCACTGAAAACAACCGAATGTTGATGAAAAATTGTTCTCTCATTTCGTATTCTCTGGTTTTGACTATGAAATTAATGTCAAGTAAGCACGAGTCTAATCAAAATTTTGGTGGAAGTAGGACTATAAAGCAACCTTCTAATTACCTCTCTTTGGCTAAAATATTGGACACAAGTAAATTATCAATACCTATAAAAAAAAACTTTTTCGTTTTGTGTTTAGAGCAGATATCTTTAAACCGATGAAAAATCTGACACCTGTTCGAAAATAAAAATAAATTTAGCTATTTCACGAGCTATTTGAGATTTTCAGCTTTGGTGTAGCAACTAAAGAATTGAATTGCTGGCTTGGTTTGAGTTTCATTTGGCAATATGAGTATAAGTAAGCAGCAGTGGCCCAGTTGTTGGCGTTAATGAATGGTACATTCTGCCTCTAAGATCGCTTGAAAGCGCTACAATTTCATTGACAAGCGTAATTTTCTGTAATTATCTCAATATCTTAGTCTTGTGTTCAATTTTAAAAATTGTATTCGAAACGCTATCTCGTCTTTGTTCGAAATTTGATGTCATTTAAACCTGATTTTTGTTTAAAACAAGGTTCTGTCGATAGTCTTCATTTGATCGTAAGTTTCCCAGATAATTGTTTGTTTTCATTTTAATCTTAATTTTATAAAAGCATTTGTTTATAAGTTTATATATATTTTTTTTTGCATTCAAAATCAGTTACCGCTAGCATACTTCGGAGGAGGTCGATTGATATATCATTATGAAGTCAAAGATTGAGCTGCATTGAAAACTTTGAAAGAAATTTATTGGTTTCGTGTTGAAAAAGCGTCTGAATCTTTTGACTCCAATTTATTACGATCTTAATGGTGTTTGAAGAATTATAGCTACGGAATTTATCTTTTTATTCGCTTGCTAGTCTATGAGTTTCGATTGAATTTTTGAAGTTTGATTTCATTCCAATCGCTCTTTACTAAAAAAACGCGACAAAAGTTGTGAAAAAATTTCTAATTATTTTTTATCGGTTTGATGGAACTGTAAATATAATGGAAATTTGTTGTTGTGCTCGGTACAAAAAAATTGGCTCTATTATGTTCATTTTTGTGTTTTCAAATATTTTGAATGAAAGGAAAGAGAAAAAAAATTACATTCATCAACCTATATCAGTATCATAAGACTAGTCCACTACATCTATGTTTTCAACATGAACCAATGAGTTTAATTTAGAATCAAATGTTTGATTCTAGATTAAACATTCCGAAATGTAATGGTTGATGGCACCACACTGTCTGCCTCTCGCAACCTCAAAATTCTCGAAGCAAAATTGACGCCAAGTCAGCTTCAATTAGCTTTGCATTAAGAAGTGTGACAATTTTCAAAAAAAAGTCATATGCTCAAAAAAGTTACTGACAGCTCTTAGTGTTACTTAAAAACCGTTTTGTAGGAGTGCCCTGAACTATGCAGCTATGAACCATCAAATTTAGTGACGCTTACTGGCAATGTCTGCAAGCAATGTAAAAGAACACTTTAAAAACAACTGCTGGATGCTTAAGAATGAAAATCATCACATATCTACATTACAAAACAAAAATATCTCCGCTTAAAAACATAATGAAATGTCAAATCATCTTCTAACATTGTCAGCTGTAACCTTTAGCACAGATCAGAGCACCGTATTTTATTCGACGAAATCAACCAAAACATTCAGACCCTCGCTCGAACATTTGTTCAAACCCGACGATAAGCATTTGTTTATCGAAAAGCAGGAGAGCATTTTGAAGCACGATTATGCTCATGGAATCAAAAATTTTCATACCATTAAAAGTACAGAATTTTCCCAGCCAAAAGTTAAAGATACTTGCAAGTTATATCAGCGAGTGATTGCAAACAAGACCGGAAAAAATCAGATGTTCTCTCAGCTCCAATTCGGGTGCTCAACTCACATTAAAAGCTATACCATCATAGGTTGAACAATAATGTACCCGGTGTCTGCCCTCGTCTGAACATACCAGCGTTCATCTATGTAACTGCTTTCAAGGTTATCTCTGGTAGAATCCCGAAGAAGCTGCTAAACCTCACATTATGGCAGTTTTCCTTCATTATCTCTAATAACAAAAAACTGCCCGCTCAAAAGGGTGATAGATTTTCACTCGGTTATTCGCACGCCGAAAAAACTGTCCGCTAAAACAGATTGAACAAAACCATAACCCAACTTTCTTTTTAATTGTGCTATGCTAAGGAGAGGTGACGACAGCACAAAGTCGCCATCATTGGAATAAATTGTTTCACTTTCTATGTCGATTGTACCGTTAAAAACCCTGGGAAACTGCAGTGGCAGATGTGAAGAAACGAAATCACCATGTCCAGACAAACGAATTTTTCCCAAATCCGTCCCTAGCGTAATTAATCTCTCCGATTTCTTCGGAGCTTCCGATTGAATTAGAAAGATTAATTATGCTAGAGACAGATTTGGGAACATTTTGTTTGCCTGGACATTGTGATTTCGTTTCCTTCACATCTGCCACTGTAGTTTTTCAGGGTCTTTAACGGCACAATCGACATAGAAGGTGAAACAACTTATTCCAATGATGGCGACTTTGTGCTGATTTCGTCACCTCTCCTTAGCATAGCTCCGAAGAAATCGGTGTAGCTGCAGCAAAACAACATGAACACGGTGATTTATTTATAGGACAATTCAGATTATCCAAATCGAACAAGGATTGCTACTTGCTGTGCAAACAGCTCGGATTGTTCCGACCTTGATTAAGACAGAATTTCGAAAAGAAATGAAAAATTGTAAATGTCAAATTTTGGTTTCTGGGTATTTTTTTTGTAAAGTGCTTCTGAAGTAGACGAAAAACTGCAGGAATGCGAAGGGATAGTTGCTAAAACAACGTAAATAGTTTTAGTAGAATAGCGTTAAAGTTGCAGTATGGAGATCCATCTCACAAGTTTCTTTTCATTGAGTTCCTGGACGCTGAGGCAATTTTTTTCCTGGAATTCGGATCTCGACCAATTTGGCTTTAATATGATACCTCACTTGAGGACCTGTGAGCTTTGCTTAAGGTACCATAAGTTTGGTGAAAAAAAATTAGAATAGTTTCTGCACTTTGTGAATTGGTCCGAACAAAAAGAAATAATCATCTGTGTTATGTCATAGGGACGACATAATTTAGACAATGAACTACGACTGGAAATTGAATTGTTTTTATAAAAAAGCAAGCATCCAAATGAAATTTTTAAAGTGTCGATCAGGGGCGGATCTAGGATTTTCTCGAGGGGGGGGGCGGATTTTCAAAATTTTGACGACCTTTTTGTTTTTTTTAGGTCGACCAAATTGATTTTTTGAGCTCTCCCAAAGCACTAAAAAAACGCTGTTTTCGCCAAATTTTCTGCGCCGCTTTTAGGCACTTTTTAGAAAATTTTGACCAAAAAATTGCGTTTTTTCGGCGCGCGCTCGCCCCTCAAAATTAGTAAATATTGGCGCCCAAGGCGCCTTTAGAAAAATTTTAGGGTCGGTTAGCCAAAAGTGGATTTCTTAAAAGTACCAAAGGGAGGACCCTTTGGGTCGGCAGGGTGTCGAATCCCTGAGGGGGGGGGGGGTGTCCGCCCCTGGTGTCGATGAACGTAGCTCAGACTTTTTTAAAGATCGCCAGGATTTTTTTTCTTGAAAGGTCTTGAAGTTTGTTCAGTCTCATATTTAATTTTGCTTTTCTTTAATTTATTGTTCTTTTTAAATTGGTTGATTTCGTTTCTTAAAATAAAGGCAATTTCCACTATCGAACAGCAAAAGTGTAAAGGTTATGACAAACGCGATTGACTTCTAATTTCGAAAATGGAATTTAATAATCAGATTTTCCGGCGAAAAAAAAATTGTACCTATTGATACAGCTTTCTCAATTTGGGTTAATTTTAACGCAAAAGTGTCAGCCATAAATTTTCTAGAAATTCAAAGAGCTTTGAAGCATTCTATTTTTTTCGCGGAAAATTGAAAAATGTGTTTTTTTTTTCAAAAAAAAACAGGTCAGTGGTTATTGACTGTTTTCCAACTGTCTGTTGGTTATGTTTTGTTGTACAAAAATGTTTTTTCTACTTTTATATTGTATGGTTTTTTAACTTGTCTGAGATGCTTGATCAGTTTTCGAGACAATTTTAGTTTTTTAGAATCAGAGCTGAAAGAGCTTTAATATGATACCACTCTTAACTCAAAATTTATTGTAAAAACACTCCCAAAGCTATAGTTTTTTTGGAATTAGTCGGAACAATAATCCTGGGAAGAGTGTTTAAAATGTAATTCAAGTAGCTTTTTCGCACTCAAATGTGAACTAAAGCTTATAATGACAAACGAGTTTGTTAAACCCCCACAGAAAAAAATCGAAGTGCATTTATGGCAAAAAAGATGGTTTATGTAATGAGTTTTTGCCGTAACCAAAATGTGTTCAAAGACGAACTTGTTTCATCCAGAAATTGACTCATTTTTTGTGAAGATTCTTCATGCATGTTTTTATGGCCTAATGAGTAATTTGGATTGCAAATTAGAATCGTTTTCAAACCACTTTGAAATTGCAGCGAAATCTCTTTTAATCATGCATACTTCCAAAGGAAACCATTAGTAGCATCAAACTCTACCCGCTAAAAGTGTGGAACTCGTTCTGATAGTATTAGACTGTTTTAGCAGATTTTGGGATGTTTTGCTGTTGTTTTGTTCAAGTGAGACGAAGATGAATTTTTGCGAAACAATAGTTTCGTTATTTGAAGTTGCTTCTACCTCAGTGATTATAAGCTGAAAAAAGGCGCCGACAAGAATAAATAAACTGGTCAAATAAGTTTCGAATGAGTCTGCACCAATCCACAGTAAGAGGAAAGTGGCTCCGAATCGCAGTTGCGGCGAGGGGAGGGGAGGCGTAGAGCGAGAGAGAGAGGGGAGGCGGGCGAACACTTAATCTCTCTTTCTCTTCTCTCTGCTGTCGCTCCTGTTCCTATTATTTTATAAGTGCCCAGGAGAAAATTGGTGCTTCAGTTTGACTCTTTGTCTCTTTCACATTTGGACGCCATCTGTTTTTACAATTGCTCTCTCTTTATTCAACAAACTTCATTTTGTTTCAGGTTTCGATATGTGATGTCAACCTTGGCGGCAGATTCCATGCTTCAAAATTTAAATCCACTGCCAATTTAACTGCACTGCAGCAGTTATATTTAGATTAGCAATTTATTAGAAGGGCAAGAAAGGAAGGAAAAGAAGAGCCCTGTTAGCATCTAGAATGTCCTGATTTTGCCATGCAGCCCCAACTGCTGCTGCTGTTGCTGTAGTTGTTTTTTTATTTTATTGCTGCTGCTGGTGGTGGTCTAGGCGGTGAAACTAAAGAGTTCCATTACCATAGCTTGTCTTACCTTCATCAACTCTCATTCTATCCTTCCTTTCTCTCACCTGTTGTGCTGACCCGTTCCCCTCCTCCGCTCCAGCAACTCATTCATTATTACAGATGCCCTATCTCTCTTATCATTTTCCCCCAAATTATGATTAATTGGTTAATCTTTTAGCATTTGTTTTGTCTCACCCTCTTTTAACTGCCGATTTGTGTCGCGAGTTTTTTTACACTTATTCTTTCTCTCTCGCTACGAAGACTCTTACTACTTTTCTTTGAAAGAACCCTTATGGTTTTATTTGTAATCTTATTTGTAACGTTGTTTGCGATCAAGTATATTTGATTAGTTGTTTGTTACACTTTTTAAAAGGCTATATTAAATCAGTTCTGTTGGACGTACTTCCAAATGGCGGATTTGGAGGCAGTTTTGGCAGATGTGAGCTACCTGATGGCGATGGAGAAGTCCAAGAGTACCCCGGCTGCCCGAGCGAGTAAGAAAATAGTGTTGCCGGACCCCCAAATTAGATGTGTGATGCACAGGTACCTGCAACAGCGCAACGAAATCACATTCGAGAAAATATTTCATCAGAAGATTGGCTTTCTTCTTATGAAGGAATACTGCAGCAAACACCTGGAACTGTCCACTCAGAGAATTGAGTTCTACGAGGACATCCTGAACTACCAGAGCACACACTGTGACGAGGAGCGGGAGAAGATCACGCGCAAGATGTACGACAAGCACATCATGACTGAGCTGATCTGTGTGACATACAACTACTCGGAGGAAGCGCTCAACCACATCAAGGAGGAGCTGAACAAGAACCAGGTACCCTCCACAGAACTGTTCAACGTCTACATTGAGGAGATCAAGAAGTCCTTAGAGAAGGAGGCCTACGAGCCCTTTCTCAAGAGCGAACAGTTCACACGCTTTCTCCAATGGAAGAATGTGGAGCTCAACATACAGCTGTCTATGAGCGACTTCTCAGTGCACAGAATCATCGGCAGGGGCGGCTTCGGAGAGGTATACGGGGCTAGGAAGGCGGACACGGGCAAAATGTACGCCATGAAGTGTCTAGACAAGAAGCGAATCAAAGGTAAGCATCAAAATTCTCACTCTACTTCTTCTTCATCTTATCTGTATTTCATTACAGCAGCAGCCATTGTGCTCGGCTAGCTAATATCACCAAACCAACCACTTTCTCCTGAGCTGTTCAACTACAAGACTGACATAAATATAAGATTGTGTTTTTGAACCTCACTTATACTATTAAGAGTAATGAACGTAGTGAGTACTCTTTTATAGATCTTGCTGATTTTTTTTTTCAGGAAAAAGTCTTATTATTTGTTCACGCTCAATTTTGATTTTTCGCGGTTTAACTTGTGATTTCTTTTTAAGCTCGGTGCATTTCCATTGTTAAAAAGGAAGGCAAACTCCACTATCGAACAGTAAAGATGTAAAGGTCACGAAAAACGTGATAGACTTCTAATTTCGAAAATGGAAATTAATTATCAGATTTCCCAGTGAAATAAGTTCTACCTATTGATCCAGTTTTCTCAAATTGGGTTAATTTTAACCAAAAAGTGTCCATCATAAATTGTTCTACAAATTCAAAAAGCTTTAAGGCCATCTTTTTTTCTTCGAAATTCAAAAGTTGAAGGTTTTGAAAAAAAAACAAGTCAGTTTTTGTTTCAGTTTCCTTGCGTTCATTACTCTTTTCCAACTGTCAGTTGGCTATGTTCTTATATTTTTTGCTCTTTCTTATACTCTCAGTGTGGGAGCAAAGATAGCCAAAAAGTTTTTTTTTGTGGAGAATATTGATAATTGTACAGTGGTCCCCTGCGGGTTTTAACCCTTTTTAATTTTAACATTGCCTGGAAAGATAACAATTGGTAACTTTCACTGAAGATAGAGAAGGACACTAGTTGCTTAAACAACTGGTCTGATTTGCGTGGTAATGTCAGCACACTTTTTGTTGTGTACAACCTTGTCTGCTGCTCTTGAACTCAGTACTTCTAACGCACTCTTCAAAAGAGGGTTGCGGCATTCAATTCAAAACATCTGCAGGAAGTAAAAGCGTGCTATAAAATGTCACTTCCTCGTCTGGTTAAATGTCAACAGAAGATATGAAAGAGAATTACATAACACCAGCAGCACCCCCTCCCCCCAAGTGTGCTAGCTTGACTTTTGTGCCGATGATACATGATTGATATCCCTGCGCTTTTAAATGCTGCGTGAGCAATGTTCTTGCAGAAGCAGTTAAAAAATTTGTTTGCAGATGGTATAATTTGAAGCGAATGGCGCATAGCTACAAATAGATATCGATCATAAATTTTATTCGGCTTTTTTCTTGTGAAATCTAACGGCATGAAGCTGAGAATTTTTCACTGGTCCAGTGCATGCCTTTTAACATGTTTTGTTGTGCAAGCGAATCGACGTATACTATTTCATTGCTCTTGCCAAATAGTGAAAACTGCCTTCACTTTGGCCACTGAATCAAGTGCAAGTGTAGATGGAAACCAGCAGTATCCGTTTGCAACATCCTATTCAGCCAATGTATAAGCTCACTTCCAAATTAAATGCTGCTACACTTAAATTTTTTTTCGTCTATAATTACATCTCATTGTTGCAGTTTTCAATCTAATTCATTTCATTACAAAACATAACAAACACAAGACAAAAAAATGAAAAGCCAAAGATAGAAAAAATGTTTGAAACTTTATATTTTATCTTCTAATGTTTTCCTTGTTTTTGCATTTTTCCTTAAATAATTGTGGCGGTAACATTCTTGCTACTTGCACCGCAACCGGCTCCCTTTTTTTGTAACCTCTTTTTTTATATAGAACTCCATTCCTAGGAAATTATCAACAGATTATCTTTCAAGCTAATACATTTCATGCCACAATATCTAGCATATGAAGGCAAAGCTTCTAAATTGTTGCATTTGTTTTAAAAATAGAAGTTATCGAAAACCGTGAATTAATATAAAGGGGATTTTTTATTACACTTGCGGTAGCAACTCTTCTAATTGGGAGCTAGAATTTTATCTCCGTAAACAGCTTTTCTTACAAATCTTCGAGAAATTGAACTTGCTTTATTTTTTAACCAAAACAGCTTGCATGCTCCTTCTCATTTGGTCTAAAAGTAACGAGGTTACCTTGGGACTCTCAGGTTCCTGCTGGCCCTTGTTTTTTTCAGTGTCGAAAATTGATTGTTTTTTTTCGGGGAAAATTGATTTGGATTTTTAGCTGATGTTTTGTCGACGCAATTGCCACATCAAGGATTTTTATTGTGCTGTAAGCAATTTCGTTTTTGTTGCAAGTTTTGTCAATTTACTCATATAATTTGTAAATATATATATATATATATATATATATATATATATATATATATCGCTTTAAGGTTTTTTCGATCTAAATGGTTTTGGTTTACGTCTTATTAGATTTGTCGTTTGAAAGGCAAAAATTGATTATCATTTCACAAAAACTCAGGTCTGTTGTGATACTAAAGTTCATAGTTATATAGTTAAATAATTTTTCTGACAAAAAATTTAGTCTGAATTTTTTTTTTTGTTTTCTGATAATTGGGCGCCTATCCACGTATTGTCGGTTTACTGGCCGCTCGGTAAATACAAAAGCTTAATAATTTTGTTGGTTGTGTTTCTAATTTCTGGATTTTCTCTGAATTTCCACTTTTTCAAAAAAAATGTTCGCCCTTCTTCGTCTGTGTTAATGTAACACTTTGTCTTGCAATCAAACTTCGAGTTTATCAAACTTCAAGTTTACTGAACGGTGGAACGAATGCTTTTTGAATCTGAAGAATAGTATGTGATTACGTCACTTGAGGGCCTCGAAAATAGCTAATCTGCTACTATAAGTACAATGCTAAGCCGTTCTAAGTGTCTTGTAATCGGTATCTAGACTTTTCTTCCAGTAAGCACTAAACCATAAACGGGGCCTAGGAAATAAGACGAAAAGCAAATTAGACGTGACCAACAAAAACGAATTTAGACGTCGATGCAAAATTACAAATATGGGACATTAGACGTAATCTATATCTATACTATATTTAAATGCTAGTGACAGCTATCTCCCATGTTTAAGCTTAATAATTTTGCAATGCTTAAGAAAATTTTTCAATTACTTTTTCGCAAGGTCATTAATTTTTCAGTAATTTTTTCAAGGCCAAATTAAGTCTGTCTGTCTGAATACCTGCTTTTTTAATTAATTTGATTATGTCTGTCTACCCGTCTCCTAATTTTTGAACTTTGAATTTGGTGTCGACGATTTAGTTCAAAATAGTACTACTGTCAAACGGTTGTCTCCAATCTCTCTTTACCTTTATCAGAAATCTTTTTTGGATTTTTTTTGCAAAGCTATATCTTTTTTTTCATATATTGCAATGGTACAGATTTTTTCTCGATTTCCCAGTTTGAATTCAGTGGTTATTCCACCGAGTTTTTAAAAAGCAGCCCAATAGTGGGATGCTGTCAGGGTTCACAAAGTGGTTGCCAATTTGGCCTCCAATTAAGAAAACTTTAAATTACAAAATTTACTCAACTTGAAATTCCCAAACCTGTAGTTGGGTGCTGTCAGAGTACTCTCGTGAGTTGCGAATCCTAATTCAAATGAGAGGACTCAAATCCTTGTAGTTTTCGAGATATCACGTTTTTTGTGATTTTTTCAAAAAAGTTTTTCGAAATTTTGAATTAATATTTGTTTTCAAAATTTGAAACTTTTTACCCTGGATTTGTGTGCTGTCAGGGTACTCTCTTGGGTTGCGAATCTTGCTTCCAAAAATGACTGCTCAAATCCTTGCAGTTTCCGAGATATCACGTTTTTTGTGATTTTTCAAAAAAATTTCAGAAAACTTAATGAATTTTTTTCTTAAAAATTTGAAATTCTTTACCCTGTAATTCAGTGCTGGCAGGGTACCCTCAGGAGTTGCGAATCTTGCCTCTAAAAATGACTGCTCAAATCCTTGTAGTTTTTGAGATATTACGTTTTTTATGATTTTTCAAAAAAAAATCCAGAAAACTGAACGAATTTTTTTTCCTCATTGTTTGAATTTCTCAACCCTATAGTTGGGGGCTATAAGAGTATTCTCAGGAGATTGCAAACCTTGCCTCCAATTATGACTGGTCAAATTCTTGTAGTTTTTGAGATATGACGTTTTTTTGTAATTTTTTTCAAAAAAAGTTTTAGAAAACCTAAACAAACTTTTTTCTTCAGATTTGAAATTCCCAAACTTGTAATTGGGTGCTGTCAGACTACTCTCACGGGTTTTGAACCTTGAATACATTTATGACTGCTCAAATTTTTGTGGTTTTTTTAGATATGACGTTATTGTGATTTTGTCAAAGTTTTTCAGAAAACGAAACTTTGATTTTTTCATTTGAATTTCCTAACCCCGTCGTAGTTGGGTGCTGTCTGGGTACTCATAAGGGTTGCAAATCTTGCCTCGAAACATGACTGCTCAAATCCTTGTAGTTTTCAAGATTTGAGGATTTTTTGTACGATTTTTCCAACATTTTCAATTAACTTAGATTTAGAAAATTCTTAAAATTTAAATATCCCAACCCTGTGATTGGGTGCTGCCAGGGTATTCCCAGGAGTTGTAAATCTTGCCTCCAAATATGACTACTCAAATTTTTGTACTTTTCGAGATTTGACTTTTTCGAGATGACGGAAAATAGGAATTAAAAAAATAAATAAATTATCAAATCACCAGCCATGTAATTGGGCGCTGTCTGAGTACAGTAAAAGCCTGCAGATGTGGTTTCCAATGTATGCGGTTTTTCATGAGTTGTCAAAAATTCGAAGCACCGGAGGTGCGCTACACGCTAGCTGTATTGTTTCGTGTCTGAAGTTTGTTTACCGACTACAATTAACTTTTTTTCAGCTTTCTTAAATGCAAATCAACTTCTCACATGCCGCAATTTTCACATTCCGCATTTATCACATGCCGCAATTGTATATAATTTATGCATTTCAAAAATGTTTTATAATCTTGAAAATAACATTTTATAAATCAATTGAGATAAATATTTTGATATGCAATGCGATCTTATATTATTTTTGTAATTATGAAAACTTG